TTCTGGTGGCTCCTCCAGTGGCTCTCTCCACTGGTCTGGGAGGGCCTGGGAGTGGGTGTGTGCCCCCAGATCTGTGCGGGGTGGGCTGGGCCGGGGTGTACTCTGGAAGGCTAGCCCAGCCACCCGCCTCCAGGCTGCACTCCACAGGGCGGGTGGAGTCAGGACTGCACTCTGGGTGGCAAGCCCCCACTATCAAATTGGGCCAAATCTCCTCCAAAGTGAATTGGTTATCAAAGCTTTGCACAACCCTAATAGTTAAATCTTTTTTGTTGGATTTAAAGTAGATATCAAGGAATACGAGTAAAGCATATTACTGAAACATCTGAAATTATAACTGTGGGCACATCTACACATTCATTAAGGAGCTTTTTCTAATCCACATGAAATTTAGTACCTCCAATGAGAAGTACTAAACAAATACACATTGATGGCTTTAATGCAGAGTAACAATATGTATGGTTTTTAAGTTATGCTTCATGTGCAGTAGTTTATTTTACTGTGCATTAGTGTAATCACATATTTTAATGTGATTCTTTAATACACAGTAAAATAGGCTTCTTCGCATTAAAGCACATGTATAGACATGCCCTGTGTTAGCTTCTTTTACTGAGCAGTGATAGGAAGTATTGATTTATAAGATGGCTCCATGAGATGTGGATGAATTACAGTTTTCAGAGCTTTAACATTTTGTTTTAGTCCAGATAAGGATAAAAAACCATGGATGCTTGTATGAACAATTGTATTTCCTCTTAGACTCTGAAGACCCGGGGCACATTTTTACCCCTATTCTAGAGACACTGGAGAAGAAAAATAGTGCTTGTCATACATATAAAACCATCCCAATCCACAGTTTCCAGGAACAATGCTCACTTATACACATGCTCTGGGAGTGGGGGAGGGGAAGGGGTGATTTAATTAAAGTGGGTCTGACAGCCACTCTAATTAAAGCACCCAGACTGTCTCATGTATCAGCATGCCCACACTGAATGGTGGCAGGGGTGCTTTAACTAAAGCTTGTTGAATGAGCTTTAGTTAAAGTGCCTGTATTGCCATTTTTAAGTGCAGGGTTGCTGATACATGTGGCACAGGAGTCTGTAAGTGGTGCCACCATTGTAAGCGGTGCCACCAGTATGGGTTGTGTTGGATACTGTAGGCACCTCCCCTCCAGGGGAACTGTTTCTTGGGTTCAGACAGCTTGGCTTTCAGTGTGGCTTACGTCTGTCCTGACTGCTGTATACCCTGCACAAGGGTGCTGTTTGGAGCTCTGCCTCCCCTTATACTCTTTCCATGTGCCAACCAGTTTGCCATAGTGATGACCTACTTCTAGGCAGTGAGCCGTATCCTCAAGCCCATGTGGGAAACACTCAGTCCTGAGTTGGCACTTTCAGGGCTTTCATGCTGATGGCAGTGCTGACGACCCTGATTGACAGCTTGGATGTCGGCTTTTCACCAAATAAAGGCTTTCAAATCAAATCATGCCCTAGCCCCCAGTCTAACTATAACTAACAGCCAACCCAGTCCTCCTGGGCCTTTAAGTGAATTTTGCCTTAGCTCAGGGATTCTCAGACTTTGTGCTACTGCAACCCTGAGGTCACTGGATGGCAGTAGCAGGGGATGGGGAGCTTGTATGAGGCAGCTGCTGCCGCCATCCACCACTCCATGAAACTGATGCATGTCACTTCCCCATGATGCCGTGGTACCCCCCTGGGAAGTTTGAAGCCCATTTTAAGTTGCTTTGACCCCCTGGGGGGTTGTGACCCACAATTTGAGAACCCCTGCCTTAGCTCTCTCTCCTTTCAGTCTGGGTCATGGTTGCCCAGTTACATACATTCACCCAGCAATGTCCATGTTAGCAATTCGAGTCCATCCCTCCAGGGAAAATAAGTCCCATAGCACAACTCACATGTCCCAATGTGATGTTAGTTCCTTAGCCCTCTTTGGGTTGTGGGCATCATGCAGAGAGGGTCAGGGCTCTGTTCCTCTTCCTGGTCCCAGAGTTCCTCCCCAGCCTCAATGCCTTTGCCACTGATTCAGGCGTTCATGTTTCTGGTGTCCTGGGTACCAGAGAGGACCCTAGGCAAAGCTCCTTTCCCCACCATGGCACCAATGTCAGGGATCACATGCCCAGCACTGTGCAGCATGGGACTGGGCTTCCATGCCATCTCCGCTGTTCTCCTCCTTGCTGGCACTGGACTTCCAGTTATATTAGCAGCTCCTGCATCCTTCCATATGTGGAGTGAGCAGGAACAGATTGCAGCAGATACTACACTTGCTGCCTTTCTGCTGCTGCCACGGTTGCCACCACTCATGCAGGTATGGGGGGACATCTCTAGCCCCCACTAGGTTGCTGCTTAAGTTTCCCACACTACCCTGTGGGCTTTTAGGGGGGCTTTTTCCCCTAGATCACCTTCCAATGGGACTTCTTGCTCCCACAACCATGCTCCAGCAGACTTGATTAATTGAGTCTGCTCTGACACACTGTAATTACAACGTGTCAGAGCAGCATCTCTGCACTTGTATAGGCAACCATTCTGACTTGTTAGCAAGACACTGTGTGCAATGAGATATGTTTCAGGGACTTTTTTGTATGAAGTAAATAAGTGACAGATTCAACCACTAAGAAGTCTAAGTATGGGAATTTTAACTTTGAAAGAGCACAAGAAAATACAGAATAAAATTATTGGCCCAGCCTTTAGTTCCCATATGAGCTATATCAAATGAAATTGCATCAGAAATTATAGCAGTGTTGTTCTCCATTACAGTTATGGTTGTGTCAGCATTTCTACTATAAACCTACATTTTCAAGGATTTAACACATTGCTATAAAAATTCACATTGAGCTGGAACTTGTATCATGTATCCTATGTCATGGCATAGAGGCATGTTTTAATAAATCTGAAGAAAAATCCATTCAAAGTTATAATAAAGGAAAAGGGCTCAAAGGCTTCATGCTTACTATAACTCAAAATCAGCTTCGAGCTATTGCATACTCTGTATTCTCTAACTCAGAATCTATCTACTTTCTTATAGTGAATAATATCCATGTAGCAGACGTGCCTGGTGTCTGCAAAATGTATTAGTTTACAGTGCTGAATATTTTGGAAAAGAACCAGTTAAAACCAACAACCTTATTTCTTCTATACAAACAGAGTGGTTTGCTGCTTGACTATGAACAGACCCAAGTATGGAGAGCCTAACTTAATTAACACTAAAGCCATTCTGGATTCAGTAGAATTATGCAGTGATAGAGATGTACTAACTGTAATCAGGATATATGTTGGCAGGGTTTTTTTTTGTTTGTTTTTAAGTGTAAAACTACTTGCTACAATGGACACAATGCAAATTGAGAAAATTAAGTGGAATGATAGAATATATTAGTTGCAAAACCATCTTTGGATTGACTCTCATGGTATTTTGAACAATTTTTTTCTCTTTGTGATGTACAAAAAGTATGCAGAATTGGAGGACTTTAGTGAAATTCCTTTTAATGAAGTTCCACACATCATTTTGCTATTAAGAAATTAGTAAAGATTCAAACAGTTTGCTTCTGTGAGACTTTCAGTCTTGGAATCTTGGAAAAGGTCAAAGTTTGAAGAGATATTCAAACCAAAGCCACACACATATTTGTTTGGCATGTGCCAAGTGGTTAGTATTCGCTTCAGATTCAGATTTGGCCAATTCAGGGGACAGTGATTTGATTTGGTGATTTGATTCACTGTCCCAAATCAATTCAGCCAAATCTGATTCAGAGATTCAGCTGCTGCCAAATTAGTTGAATCTCTGAATCACACTGGCCCCATCCCTCCCCCGCTCTCCCAGCCCTGACAATGGTTGCCCCCCCCCAGCTCTGGCCCTTTAAGAAAAAAAAAATCCCCCACTCACTGGTTCCTGCCTGGTGGGGGGGGGCAATCCTCACTTCCCCCTACTGCCCCATGCCATGTGGAGGGCTCTGCATGAGCCCTCAGAAGCTCTGAGGCTGCTGCAGGAACCAGTGAGTTTGTTTGTTTTCCTTAAAGGCCTGGAGCTGGGGTGGGCAGGGCAGCCATGAGAGGGGGATGGGAGAGTGGGTGGGGGTTGGGAAGCTTATATTAGAGCCCCCCATGCAGCGTCAGGCAGTGGGGATTGCCCCGTCACCAGGCAGCAGCCAGTGAGTAGGGACTGTTTTTAAAGCACTAGGAGCTCGGGCTGGTGGGCCTGGCAGAGGTCACTCTGTGGTCCCCTTCCCCCTCCTCCACAGTGCCCTCTTCCCCGCCCCCTACTTACCAGCTCAGAGTCTGGGTCCAGCTCCCTGCTGCAGTGGGTGCGGGCTGCCCAAATCACTGAAGCTTTCTGAATCTTTTCAGAATTGATTCAGAGAGCTTCCAATCAATTTGGACCTTTTAATTGGTCCCCTGACTTGATTCAGATTCGGAGATTCGGACACCAAATCAGGCTGAATCTCCTCGCAATTGAATCAGCACCTGAAGCTTTGCACAGCCCTAATATTTGTGACTTTAGTGTTGTATGCTGAAGATGATCATAGCGAGTGGATTCATAACTTTTACCAATACTTGCAAAGTGTAGAACTGATCAAAGTTTGGAATGACCTTTCAGCAGTAATTTTGATTTTTCTACACATAATTTTATCCCAAATGGAGAGAAAAAATTGAAATATAAAAAAAAAGACTTAAAAAATTTGCAGTCAAAATCCTGGCTTTCATTAACATCAAGCTATAATCATGCAAGCCATGATGGTACCTCATGTGTCCAGGCTCCCACACTTATTTGGGATAATGCATTGTAATAAACTACACCAGAGTTTGTTGGTTTGGGTGCCATGTTTACACGTGTGCCCAGGACAGAAGCATGTTGAGCCAGGTAGGAGCAGCCCTGGCTGTCAGAGGGCCCAGGGAGTCAGTCTAACAGCTTGGGGCTGCTCCAACCCAGCTCAATGTGCTGCAGAAGGGCTGTAGGGGGCACAAAGGTGCTCTAGTACAGGGCTAGCCAGCAGACAGCCCCTGCACTGAAGCACCTTCATGCCCCAGCCAGCCCCGTCAGTGTACATATGTATTGCAGCACACTAAATGATGCAACTGCAGGATAAGAATTTTGTTTACAAGTACCAACCTATGACAGAGTTTATAAATTTACTGTGGCCTAATAGGGCCACATGTGTAAATGCTGAGACTTCTGCAGAGCTAATTATGCAACTCCACAGTTAACATCTCATGTAGATGCACTTTCTGGTGATTCAGTCAGGTTCTTTGATACATTATTTTTGACCAGCTCAAACCAGAACTCCCCTGAAATTTAATATTGAGCTGACTCAAAACAAAACATTGTAGATTAGATCAACAGATTAAATAAGTTGAATGCAAATTGAATTGACCCTAAACTGTTTCATTTTTCTGTTGAAAAATAAGTATATAGTGCAAAAAGGGGTAGTAGAGATAATGTTCCTGAAAAAAATTCTGATTTTTGTGGAAACTGCATTTTTGGAAATTCCCTAACTAGTTCTAGATTTACTATGGTAACTGATTTTTGGTCATATTATGACTGACAGATTATAATGGTACAATTTCCAAAGCCACTTTGTAATAACAATACTAAAAATAATTTGTCAAGTTAAAAAAAGAAGAAAAAACGTAATATAGATGAATGGACTTCTGATCTAATTTTGTATATTTGCTACATACAACCATAAAATCTACATAACAACCAAATTGTGTATTAGTACATTTCAAAAAGATTTTGACAACGCTTTGTGAGAACAGTATATGAAAAAGAGTCTGGATGAAGCTGGCTAATAAAAATGTCTAACTGCAAATATCCCTTGCATCTTTAAGGATAGACTTACCTCAGGGAGGTTCAATTTCTTAGTGGTTGGGGACCACACCAATAGGGGCCATGGCCTCCCTCACCATCCTACCTTTAGGCTCCCCCAGCTTTGCATAGACGGGTGCCCCAGCCCCTCCCTCCCTATTGCAATGTACACATGCAGGTAGTCCTCCCTCACCACTGCACCATGTAGACAGGTGAGTAGTGACCCCCCCCACCTCATTGGTTGTAGACTTCCTTGCTGAACCACAACACAGATTTCTTTGGCACTGCAGGCTGCATTGAGCTATGCCACCCTTTCTTTGGGTGGGAGCAGAATGTGAAAACCAATTAAGGGAGCAGGAGCCTGGAGACCTTGGCAGAAGTCAAAGTAATGAGGGGTGTGGTGGCCAACTGGAGTCCAGGGGCCACAGATTAACCTCTTGTGGGCCATATGCAGGCCACAGTCTGCTTGTGAAGTGTATAACTTATTTTGGATACCTGAATTCCTCTCTAGATGTAACTGTGAAATTTCATTATAATATTTGGAAAATTGTGCACCAAATTAAACCCCCAATGATATTAATACAGGTTTTCCCCTCACAAGATTGTATGTTATTACTCTAATGTTTTAATTATAGCGTAACTCAATCACTAGAGAAGGGATGAATTACCTTAGAAAATTCTGTGCAATTTTATTTAGATGGGAAATCAAGAGGTCAGAGATACAGACCAGCATTCACACCTGGGAACTAAGAAGATAAGAACTGCCATATTTAGGTCAGAACAATGTTTTTTTTAGCCCAGTATTTTGTCTCTGACAATGGCAAGTAGTAGATGCCTTACAGCACAGATAGAAGTGACTTTTTTTGCATCATGTGGTACCTGAAAGCAATCTACAGCTGTGACCTAACACATAAGCATGACTGCAGAGTGCTTCTAATATGACTGATTGCATGAAAAGTTAACCCTTGTCCAATCACATAACAGATTAAGGTGTTCTGCTATAGGCATTTTTTTCATGCAAGGGTGGGGTTGTCAGTGGAGAGGAAGTGAAGGGAGCAACAGCAGCTGTGGGGCTGCTATGCCCAGCATGAGCTGGGGGTAGGGGTGGAACAGATCCCCTCACCTCACAGTGCCTGCTAGCTACCTCAGCTGGAGTATTCAGGGGATCTGGGCAGGCCCCTGAAGTGAGGGGGTCTCTGGCCAGCTCTGGCCAGGCCTTTTGAGAGTGGCAACAGTAACTACTGGGCAAGCCTGGCCTGAACTGGAATGGAGCCCCCCTCACCTCAGAAGGTCTGGCTGGGCTCACCCCAATGCCCCTGCCAAGGTAGATTTTAGGTAAGGGGTTCCATTTCACCGTCCACATCCAACTGAGGCTGTGCAGCCCCACAGCTGCTGCTGCTACTCCCTTAACTTCCTCTCTGCTGAAAGCCCTAAAGCTTGGGAGGGGAGGGGTGAGGGAGGCTAGGGAGAGGAGTGATCCTGGCCAGAAGTCCTGCCTGCTGGCCAGGAGAACTGGTTCAGGCAGGCTTGATTCTCTCCAACCCAACAGGCAAATGTCTGTTGGGTTAGGGAGGCACTCTAACCCATGATGCTTTATATTAGGGCTGTGTGAAATGGAAGCATTTCATTTTGACCAGCGTTTCAACATTTTGACAGAACAGTGTTTTGTTTCGACTTTTGTTTTGAGTTGAAATGGCTCTTCTAGTTTGTTTCATCAAAACGTTTTGCCGTTTTGACCCTGTTTCAATTTTTTGCCCATAGGATATTATGGGGAAGGTTGAAACAGGCTATAACTTTGTCATTTTTAGCCAGAACTGGATGAAACTTCCAGGAATTGTAGCCTCTTCTTAGGGAAATGAGGCATGCCAAAATTCAAGAAGATAGATGCAGGGGGTTCAGAGAAACTGCACCTCAAAATCTTGAGAGGAAAAACTCATGTCACTTGTATGTGTGAAGCCACCGTAGCGTCAAAACTGCAGGCTTGCTAGCCCCTGCTGTGGCCACAAAGCCTGATAGCTCTCAATGAGATAGGTGCTGTGGTACTCAGGGTTCTGGGCCCATGCACCTCTGGTTGTGGACAGGCAAAACTCATGACATGGGTGCTTGTGACACTGTGTCTGGCTTTGGGCGGGGGGGAACCACTGCAGGCCTGGCTGCCAGGCCCTGCTGCGGCCATGAAGTCTGCCAGCTCTCAATCAGATAGGGGATGTGGGGCTCGGGGCTCTGCGGCCCTGTGCCTCTAGCTGTCAACAGGCAAAACTCGTGACATGGGTGCTTGTGACACTGTGTGTGTTCAGGTGCGTCCTTCCTGGTGCTGGGGCCTCTGCACAACACAGCAGTGTGCCCCAGTGAGGTCTCCTCCTCCCCTACAGCCTCTTCTCAGTCCACCACTGTAAATGATGGCAGGTGAAAATAATGTAGCTGGCTCAACAGCAATAGAACAAGCAGAATCTAAGGTAGCCAAATGGAACTGTCACAGAGCCTTCTTGTTATAAAGGAATTGGCAGCAAGGAGTAAAGATGTTGTGTTGGATATATGTTACTCATGGTGTGTGTGATAGCTTATCTTGTGTTTTTATGTTTGTATTGTTATTATGAAAAAATGGAATAGTTAGAGAAATTTCTCTTAAGAAGATTTCAGGTTGAAAAACCCTTTGTCAGGCTGAGAAAGTACCTGCAGTTGGTGTGTCTCCTGGTCCTAGATGGA